GATTAAAATTGGGTTTGGTCAATGGAATAGAATTCTCAACTGTTTGATCTTCCAACATCTCGATCTATCGAGTAAAATTAGTATTTATCTTGAGTGATGGAAATTATTTCAGATGATGTTGACTGTATATCTTTTGCTCGTTATCCATCAGGCAACAAGTTCATGAATAATTTTACAAGGAGCGGAAGTTGTGTGCTTGAATAAGTGCGCTGAGCTCATATATAGTAATTAAATTCGTTTATCACAAGTAGATCCAAAAGAGTATCAGGAATTTTCATTATTTTTGTTTGAACTTCGCCATTTGCTACTCGAAGTCTTTTGAGATACGTCATGCCTTAGTTTATTGAGGCAGAAAGTTCTTAGATTTCAGACAATTTATAGTTGAATAGCTAATCTCAGACCTCTGCACATGTATTAGTTTAAGCACTAATGTAAAGGTACAGGGGCAGATCCAAAAAAGAAAAATAAATAAAGCAGAGAGTACTAAGGCTATTATTCAAACCGAGCTATTTTGTAAACACAGGTCAGTTCGACTTGTAAAAGTTCGAGCTCGGCTTGTTCATACACTTAAAAGAGCCGAGTTTGAACTAATCAAATTAGTTTATTAAACAAATGGAGCCAACATGTTTTCAAACAACTTGATTAGGATTTATGATTTTGGATATTGGTTTACTAAACAATTGAGCCTAGCGGAATGAGCTTTTGAGAGCTTGTACGAGTCAAGCTCAAGCTCACATTTTTGTTTGTCGGCTAAACGAGCCGAGCCGAGCCAACTCACTTGTTAAACTAACACAATTTTGAACATGAGATACTTAATTAGGCCCAAATGAAATCTCTTGTGGGGTTATCCAATTTTTAATAGCATCACACATTTAACTTTATATATATAAGATTTAAAGTTTCACTATGAAATTGATAAAATAAATAATAAGGTTGCATGACAAAATACATAACTTCTTAACTTAGGTAGTATTAGAATTGTTCTCAACATTCCTTCCAATCATGGAACTCATTAAAGATCGACTCAGTACTAGTAGCTCTCACGATTCTTTTTCGACCCCATAGATTAAATATGCTTATAATATATTTGTATTTATATTCCTTGTAAAAGTTAATTTTTTTTTGTGGACAATGACCCCGTATTGCATATGCAAATGCGCCGATACAAAGGTCGGAAAGTGTATTTCCTTTCTCAGTCTTTATGGTGCTTGGTAGTCCAAAAACACTTTGGTGAATGATAGGAAATGTTATATAATTAAAATGTTGCTAGTTGTCCTAAACCATATCACCAAAACGTTCTGTGACTTTTACCTAACAACTAGTTCCTAGGCTAGTGCAATGACGTTTTTAGTTTTTTTCTGGCAATTTGTTTTTTTGTGGTAAAGAAAGCATACACAAGCTGTGGATCTTTGCCTCAATTCCTCTCTTTGGATAGTTCTATTGACTGGCGTTTTCTTTGGTTAAATGGTTTTATAAATGACCACTTTGTTGCTAAGTTATGTATATCCGATGTATTTAACTGACATGGCTCTATTCATAATGAAGTCATGGCGTCCAATGTATTTCTACTATGTGGTACACTTGGCATAAAAACATCATAGTCCACGAATATGACTGAACTTTCCTGTTGAACTTCTAGTGTACTGCTTCTTATTCCAAATCTTTGTGTATTCTCATCATGCGCGATTGCTAGCTATGGGTGTACTTTTCGTAACAAGTCTATTTCCATATTCAATTTCATTTCTTTCCAGCTGACATACTAATTATTTTGGTACAGTACCTTTGATAGCTTATGGTTTAAATGTTTTATTTCATTGCTTGTGATTGGGGAGATGCTTTATTTCTAAATCACTTTAACTTGTTGAATTATCTTGTGTACAGGCATTTCCCTGAAGACTCAGGAACTTTATGCCATTGTGTTTGCTACTCGCTATTTAGATCTTTTCACCGACTACATCTCACTCTACAATACACTGATGAAATTAATTTTCCTGGGAAGCTCTTTCTCAATTGTGTGGTATATTCGGCATCACAAAATTGTACGAAGATCCTATGACAAGGACCAAGACACTTTTCGCCACTATTTCCTTGTGCTGCCTTGCTTCCTTTTAGCCCTAGTCATAAACGAAAAGTTTACCTTCAAAGAGGTACTTTGACCTTGAACTATAGAGCTGCTATATTATAAGGGAAGAAAGAACCAACATTAGAAAATAAATAAATATCAGGAGTCCTGATGTAACTTTGGTCATTTGCCAGGTGATGTGGACATTTTCATTGTTCTTGGAAGCTGTTGCCATCCTTCCTCAGCTTGTCTTGCTACAGAGAACGAGAAATATTGACAACTTGACTGGGCAATATGTTTTTCTTCTTGGGTAATTGACTATTGCCCCATATTCATCTGTCTACTGAAGATCATTAATAGCGTTATCTGATTTCTTGTTAAAATTAAATATAAATCTTGGGTTGAGTTGTGGCTATCTATCAGACTTGTTCCTACATTGATGTCAGGTCCCAGCGTATTCTTATGTTTGGTGCATGGATATGATTTCTTGTTATTGCCTAAATACCTATTGTCATTCTGGCCCTTTGATATCTATGGAAATCTTGTAATGTAGTCTTGTAGATATCTATGATTTAGGTGGAGAAATAGCAGAAAACCATTGAGTTGCTCCCTTCCAGCTTTTTTCTTTTTCATCTTTCTCTGTTAACCTATCTTGTGTCTCCATTCGCCCTGTTATTTTCCTCTTTAGTTGCAGAGTACAGGATTCCTTTTGCCGTCTCTTTTATAAATTGACCTCAATACAGAAAGTGTATGTAGCAAGGTTATAAAAGTCATTAGGAGCTTGCTAGGCGGTGGATTGGGGCCTAGCGCCTTGGCGGGGTCGAGAAAATATTAATAAATTTATTTATATTTTTCATCCTGCATAATTTACAAGATATATTATATAAAAATTATTAATTATTATGGTCAAATATAATGATTATGCAAAATCTAATACATTCATAATTATTGTATTAATTGTGAAATAATTATTCATATTTTTATTATATAATTAATATAAATTTCATGTGTAAAAATTATAATGCTTTTTTATTTTTTAAAAAAGTAAATTAAAAAAATTGAAGAAAAATATAATTAATAATAATTTCATGTGTAAAAAGTTCATTCTTTTGTGTTTTTTAAAAAAGTAAATTAAAAAAATTGATAAAAAAAATATATACGGCGCCTAGACGCCACCAAGGCCACCTAGGCATAAGTACCTTCACAACTGCCTAGGCAAAAGTCGCCGCCTTGGCGCTGCCTAGGCCGACTTTTAGTATAGAGGTATGTAACAAGTGTCTATGGCTTGTGGTTAAACATGGAATGTTGACGGGGGATATTGAACAGCTAAGTTTTCCCTACTTGGGGAAAATGTTTTGGTTTCCTCTGTCTCTGCATGTTGGTCATGCAATTGTCATTTCTTTTAATTTGATGGAAACCATTTATTACTTTTTCGGTTTTGTAACTTGTATCTCAAAACCACAAACTGTACAAAACCTATTTCTAAAGTAAACAAGATTTGGTGGCAAAAAGTGTGCTTGATAAACAAAGGTGCTGTTGAGGAGGGAATAGTCCAGCTTACCACCTATATCCTGCGGTGACTTTGGAAATCAAGAAATCTTTGGGTTTTTGAAAACTTGTGGAAAACTGAGAAGAGTACTCGAAATGCAGCTGTGAAGGAGTGGTTGGAATTCTCAAATTTTTTTGGCTTGGACTTGTATATCCAGCTAGGTTCTTTGTTAGTTCAATGGATAGATATACTTTGGACTGATGATTTTGTCATGTAGCATACTTATAAATTAGCTAAGGGCTCCAGTATAAGTGTTCTGCCTCGTAACTAGATTATCAGATGGCTTTGACATTTTCTTTGGTTCTAGGCTACTAGTGAGTGGATATCTGTGCAGCTCTAGTTGTGTTTTGTGGGCTAGTTAGCCTACCGTGAAGTTGTCTATGCACTCTGAGGGTGTACTGAGATTTATTCTATCATT